CGGTCCTGACTTGGCTGTTGAAGGACTCGCTGGGAGGGAATAGCATGACAGCTATGATTGCTGCGATCTCTCCAGCAGACATCAATTTCGAAGAGACTTTGAGCACCCTAAGATATGCTGACTCGGCTAAGCGTATCAAGAATCACGCTGTGGTCAATGAAGATCCGAACGCTCGCATGATAAGAGAATTGAAAGAAGAATTAGCACAGTTGAGATCCAAATTAGGAAGTGGTGCCACTTCTGGCGGTATCGCTGAAGAACAATATGCTCCAGATACGCCGTTGGATCAGCAGATTGTCTCCATCACCCAAGCTGATGGAACAATAAAACGTGTGTCAAAGGCTGATATTGTGGAGCAGCTCAACCAGTCTGAGAAGCTGTACGAAGATCTAAATCAGACCTGGGAAGAGAAGCTGGAAAAGACTGAGCTGATACACAAAGAACGAGAAGCTGCTCTTGAAGAACTCGGTATCTGTATCGAGAAAGGATTCGTCGGAGTCTCAACGCCTAGGAGGATGCCTCATCTTGTAAATCTCAGCGACGATCCACTTCTCGCAGAATGTCTGGTGTACAACATCAAGCCAGGGACCACAGCTGTAGGCAACGTCGAAGACCCAGGCACGACTTCGGAGATTCGCTTGAACGGGTCCAAGATCATGAAAGATCACTGCACGTTCGAAAACGTTGACGGGCTTGTCACGTTGGTGCCGCGAGATGGTGCTGCAATCATGGTAAATGGACTTCGTGTAGATAAGCCATCAAGACTCCGGAGTGGAAATCGGGTCATCCTAGGAGACTTCCACATCTTCCGCTTCAACCATCCACAGGAAGCTAGAGCAGAGCGCAAAGAGCAAAGTCTTCTCAGGCATTCTGTTACCACAAGCCAACTCGGTTCTCCTGTGCCAAGGCCATCACACAGTCGAAGCGAAAGCAGATTTGACGTTGAAAGTGATATCGAGGGAAATAGGCCAGAGTCTCCAATGCCTTCAAGAAGCGGGCGAGACTCAGACTGGTCTTACGCGCGCCGTGAGGCCGCGGGCGCTATCCTAGGGGCTGATCAGAAGATCACACATCTGACTGACGACGAGCTGGATGCCTTGTTCGACGATGTGCAACGTGCTCGAGCCGTTCGCAAAGGTCGTCCCGAATCTCGTCTGTTCGGGCCAGAAGATGAAGACTCTGAATCAGTCAGCTCATACCCAATCAGGGAAAAGTATATGTCAAATGGCACGCTCGACAATTTCTCTCTTGATACCGCTCTTACGCTGCCGAGCACTCCTCAGCAAAGCGGTGTAGAATCAGCTGAGTCAGACGACGACAGACTAGAAATGATCAGAGGCGACATGCGAAACCAGCTTGATAAGCAGAAAGAAGAGTTTGAAGAAAAGCTTAGAGTAGCTCAAACCTCTACGACCCAGAATGTCGAAGATTTGAGAGCCGAGAAGGAACGCATGGAACATGCTCTCGAAGCTGCAAAAGAAGATTACAGACGTCAGCTCGAGCAGCAGAAAGAGACATTTGCCCGAGAATTGCGAGAGGCTTCAAGTTCTCCTTCACCAAGAAGGCCACGAGTAACCCAAAATGGATTTACTGAGCTACCGGAGGAGGAGAAGGCCATCGTCAGAAACCATCTAGCACGGTGGCGGCAAGTTGGGCACGTGCGCCTCGCGGAGGCGATTCTTCGACATGCAGCGACCTTGAAGGAAGCACAAATCATGAGCCAAGTAATGGACAAGAGTGTCGTCTTCCAATTTACCATCGTTGGGGAAGGACAGTATGTATGTTCCTCCTATGACCTAGTATTGAGCGGGATCTCTGGCGACGAGGATCCTGCGCTGGAAGCCGCCATGAAACCTTGCGTCGCCGTGCGAGTGATCGATTACAAAAATGCTGTTATTCATCTTTGGTCTTTGGAGAAGTTGGAGCAACGCGTCCGGACCATGAGGCAAATGCACCAGTATCTTGACAGGCCAGACTACCTGCAACATTTCCGGCTCGAGAATCCCTTCATCGAAAATTGTCTGCCTCAATTCTCTCTTATTGGAGAGGCCAACGTGCCCTTGACCGCCGTTTTCGAAGCTCGAGTTCAAGATTATGCCATCGAAGTCTATTCGACCTACACACTCGAAGCGATCGGCAGGATCAAGCTGTCACTAGAGCCGTCTGCGGCACAAGCCCCTCCAAAGATGCTCAAGTTCAACGTTGTGATGCATGAGATGGTAGGCTTCGCAGAGCGGGAAGGCACCAAGCTTCATAGCCAGATGTTCATACCAGGGATTAGTGAAGAGGGAGGTGCGACGGCTACGCAGATGATCCAAGATTTTGACGAAGACCCCATTCGCTTCGAAAGCGTTCACAGCATGAGTGTACCACGGAGCGCTCCTCCTAGCGCAACTCTACGTGTAGCCATACATGCAAAGGTGACTCCCATGCACCTAGACAGGCTTTTGAGCTGGGATGAGATCCGGGAGACAGGTCAGGACGTCTCGCTAAATGGCCATGCTCAAACAGCGAGATTACCTGAATCCGAATACTGGATGCAAGAAGAGCACGATGTGTACGCCAAGATCAAGATTTTGGAGTTATCTGAGACGGGCGAATACCTCCCGGTGGAAATCGAGCAGCACAGTAATCTGGGTCCGGGAATGTATCAACTGCATCAAGGCTTGCAAAGACGGATCATGATCAATCTAACGTGCTCCTCAAGCGAGTCATTGCAGTGGACAGAAGTGAAGTCACTACGTGTAGGGAGCTTGCAAGTCATCAACCAGGACTTTTCTATCCTCGGTCGAAGCGACTCAAGTCGTCAGCTCCCGCTAAAGCTCGTCAAAGAACCAGCCGTTGTAGAAGATGCGAACGGTATCAAGGAGTTCACATTGACCGGGCAGTGGGACTCGAATGGCTCTTCGCTCCTCGATCGACCTACCGCAGATAGACACATGGTGCAAATGTCAATTTCGGTCGATGTAACATCCTCGCGAGTCCACCAGCCTATGACCTTCACACTGGAAGAGAACCTACAAGTTCGGCCTCGATCATGGCTTCGACCCCAGTCAATGTTCAAACAATTATGGAAAACTACCAGGATCATACACTATACGGCTGGTATTTTCTCCGTTTCCATCAGACCAGCCTCGGCCAAGCGTGCCTCGGACATTTGGAGAATGGATAGCCAGCAGACCTACGTCAAAGGAGAGGAAGACCTCACTAATTGGAAGCCGAGAGGAGTCGGTCTTCTCCACGACTATATCCGGTCACGAAAAAGCAGACGACAAATCGCAGAAGTCGAAGCCACAAAGGTCCTTCTGCGTCGCCATCGAAGTCCCGTTCCCTCCTCGCCAACCTCCACTGAGCTTTCTCCCGCCCAAAAGAGTCTCCTCGAAAAGTGCCTCGATCTTTGGACCTTGACTTCGAAAAAGCCCCCATCCCTCACACTGTCTCCAGCCGACCCCTCCGGCTCCTCTGCTCCAGGTCAGGCTCAATCTCAGCCCAGACATGATCCTCCAGCTCTGACAGCGACCATCCACCACCACCCCAAAAACCCTCTCCTCCTTAAATCCTCCTTCCTGCTCACCCCCAACCCCACCTCCCATGCGTGGACACGCCACTTCGCTGAGCTCCGTCCGCCGTATCTACATCTCTACGCCGTGCCTTCAGGCAACGAAACCGCTACCATAAATTTAAGGAATGCCAGAATCGATGTTGATCCACCGGTTCAGCGCTTATTGAACGAAGAGGAAGGGACAAGAGGAGGGCAGGGCAGGAAGAATGTCTGGGCTGTGTACGCGAAGGGCGGAAGCTGGCTATTTGCGGCGAGAAGTGAAGAGGAGAAGGGACGGTGGGTCCTAGCTGTCGATGAAGGATTTATCGATGAGCCGTGAAATGAGTGGTGCAAGGACTTTCATTTTTTGGAAAGGTGTTTTGCATTTACGATGATACCCCCAGATTAACCCTCTTTTCGTTCCATGTGTTCATAGAGAATAGAGGACACTTATCAGAGATGCTGGAAACCCTTTTGGTTTCCGTCGATTTTAGGCATCAAGCCGGTATAATTTGCCGCTCATGACCGTGCTTCTTTAGGAGAAAAGTTAAAGGCGCAAAGACTCCTCGCTGGTGCTGCTATTGCTGGACTTTCAGAGATTAATACCGTTACGGTAGTCACTTTTTCCAGCACATTGTCTGGCGGGCACGATTGTGAAATGTAGAAAGGAGCCAATAGCAGGCAAATTACAAAACTGAAAGACCAAGACCGACATGTGCTCGAGTGTCAACAAGCTTGACAGTTTTCCAGCGGATGATGCCAAAAACATACGACGCAGTACTACGGAGAATAGTATTCTACCTTTCACGGAGTACCTCATACAAGAAAATCGAACAAAGCAGGCCTGCTCCCCTGGTTCCCCATGTTCTCACACGGCCATACTTTCCCGATTCAATTCCCAGAGACCTTTAGACGGTTAGTGGGTATGCAGAGGGCGTCCTTTGTCTTTGTGGGGCTCAGACCAAAGGAGGCCGATTGAAATTGCTCCTCCACTGCTGGGTCAAGGTGTATCCAAGTAATGCCTGGTCTTACCACTCCTATCATAGAAAGCCTGGCGCAAGGCCGGAAATACCTACCGTATCTACATGTCCCCCGTCATTCGTGGTTCGAGAGTTTCTCATATGGAGATAGATCGTTGACCCTCCTCAGCCTTTGATAGTAAAACCGAAACGCATGCCGATACCTTGCATGAAGGATGCGACCCAATCTGGCTGGTTCGGGCAACGTCATGCGCGATTCCCAATCATACCCTACGTGATTCCTAAACATACGTGATATCCGACCATACCTGCGTCCATTGTGTGGCTCAGATCCCCAGATCCCTTGGCGGCCGTATATAAGTAGATAAATGTACGAGTACTCCGACTCCAACATCTGATTCTCACCCCGGACTCGAAAGCTAAGGATCCGCTCCTCCTCCAACTCCCATTACCCAAGCACAAGACAACCTTCCCTGAACATGACCACTTCAAACTACTCAATCTACGCCATCCCCGCCTTCTACATCCTCGCCCTCGTCCCGCAGTTCTACAGCACCCTACTCATAAACCGCGCGACAAACGGCCGGTTCGACAACGTCAACCCGCGCGGCGCCTCGTTCGCGGAAACATGCAAGAAGAGCCTTGACAAAGCTACCTTGGGCCGCTCTGAGCGAGCCAGAGCCGCCCATACTAATGCGCTGGAGAACTTGCCTCTATTTGCGTCGGCGGTCATCTGTGCCAACATGGCGGGGTTGGAGAAGGGAATGGTCAATTCGGTGAGGATACTTCTTTACCCACGTTGCTATTTGAAGTCGTTACCACTCTCGGAGACGTACTATGGCATGATACTCGTTTCTGTCCTTATCATACTCTCTTCGTCGTGCATCAGCCTGCTTGCAATAGGCAGTGACGCTGACTTGAAGAACTTGAAGATGTGTGGGGCATTCCTAGGATTGAGGGTTGTTTATACATATGTGTATATTGGCGTCGAGAGTCCAAAGCTCGCATTGGTGAGAACATTGGTTTGGATGACGAGTGTCGGGTGCTGCATGACGTTACTGTTCAAAGCGGGAAACGTGCTTGTGGATGGGAAGGGGATGAGATTATGAGCTGTGAGACGGGTGTGAATGGGGAAGGAGAGGACGGGGATATCTTGAAGGTATTGGCCTTTAAGCTTATGCGTTGCTTCTGGCCGTGCGGTGGAGCGAAGAGCGAGGCGCGTTACTCTCTGCGAAGCAACTTATGAGACATCCTTGCTGTGATATCGTGAACGGATGGTAGTTATGTCGAAATCGCCGAACATCAGTATCAATCGAATGAAGCTCCTTCGCAATGGCAGGCAAGCTCTGAATTTGCTAATTTTCACGTCGAATTTGGGGATCACGCCTACCGAGTTTGTCATTCACAAACAAGAAACGCTTCAGCTTGAGCGTTAAACAGCAACAGAAGGAACCTCCTCGGTGATATGAACTGTGTCCACCGCTTCGAAAGCCAATTTTTAGTTCGCGTCTCTCACTCAGCCCTACGAGTACGGAATATAAATCGTCCCACTCCCCTCGCGACTCCCTCTCCAACCCTTCCGAACCATTGACCACCATGACCAATCCCCGATCCTCCAACCTCCCCAGCTCCGTCCTCGTAGTCGGCGGCTGCGGGTTCCTGGGCCGCCACATCGTCTCGCAGCTCCTGGAACCTTCAACCTCCAAGGTTTCCGTCCTCGATCTCCGGACAACAGACAACCGCCTCCCGGGCGCCTCCTACTACGATGCCGACATCACATCTCCCGAAGCCGTTCGCGCGGTGTTTGAGAAAGTCAGACCCCAGATCATCATACACACCGCCTCGCCGACTGCGATGCAGGACAATGCCAGCGCGGCGCAAAAGAAGGGGGCTAAGGCTCTCTACTATAAGGTTAATGTTGGAGGAACTAGGACTTTAATCGAGCAAGCGGGGCAGGTTGGCTGTGTGAAAGCTTTCGTGTTCACGTCGAGTGCGTCCGCGGTACATGATGGGCACAGCGACCTCATCAACGCGGACGAGCGATGGCCTATCTTACGCGCACCGAAACAAAAGGACGCCTACTCTGAGTCTAAAGGCGTAGCGGAGGAGTTGGTACTTGCCGCAAACCGGAAATATGGCGATATGCTCACGATTGCATTACGACCTGCTGGAATATTTGGGGAAGGGGATATGCAGTTGATACCCAATCTCCTGTTGGCGTATGAGAAGGGGCAGACGAGATTTCAGCTGGGTGAGAACGAGAATCTTTTCGATTTCACCTATGTTGGGAACGTGGCATACGCACATATACTGGCTGCAGTGGCACTGATGGATACGCATGCCCTGACAACACAACCACTGGATCACGAAAAGGTGGATGGACAAGCCTTCTTCGTCACCAACGCACAACCTCTCTACTTCTGGGATTTCACCCGCATGGTGTGGAAAGCTGCAGGAGACAAGACCACTCCGGAGCAGGTCTGGACAATTGAAAAAGGGCTGGGACTGCTGTTCGCGACGATCATTGAATGGTTATTCTGGTTTGCTGGGGGCAGGACGCCAAATTTGACGAGGCAGAAGGTGCAATTCAGTTGTATGACGAGGTTCTATTGTGTGGACAAGGCGAAGAAGTTGTTAGGGTATGGGCCGAAGTGGGAGATGGAGGAGGCCATATTGAGGACGGTGAAGTGGTTCCAGGAGAGGGATGCTAAGGATGGGGTTGAGAAGAAAGTGCAATAATATTGAGAGACATAATGGAGGACGTTTTTGCCATGCCATGGTGTTGAATGGCTGTATTATAGCGGTGAAAAGTCAATTGATTGTCAAGATACCTAGATCTTGCTAATCAGATACATTAGCAGCATGTAGATGTACAGCTATGCTCCTAATGTTTAGCAAAGAGAAATACATGGAATCGTGAAGCGGACACGGCAACTGAAGGGTTTTCATGGAGCTGGTGGAGTAGAGAATCTGTAAGAGAAAAGCAATACAGCAGGAAAGAGCGTAGGCTCGTTGCGTTTCCATGGAGGCTTCCTCAGTAGCTTTTTGGCTTGTGACCTTCGTACTTTGATTTCAATGGCTGTGCCAACTCATTCCATCTGCAATGGTATTGAGAATATGGAAGCTGAGAACTGAGGACAAAGCAAATTGTGTGATGAATGGTCATTCTCTGGGATTCGATACTTCGGCAAAGACTTTTCCCTCCACATCTGCCGCTTATCTTCCGGTCACTATGTACCTTCTTGAAGATTGAAGCTGTAGAGCTTGATTCACGTCACCAGCTTTGCCCCACATAACCCGAGACTCTCCCTGCAGATGGTGCTGCATTAGTGCCGGATAGTTCACGGCTTCTCGTAACTCGTAAGACCATTTCCGTACTTTCTAAGCGCTTGCTACTTCTTCGGTTCTTCTGGGATGCTAAGGATTAGTTGGAGTCATTTGACGTTTTGATGCGCTGGCTTTGGTGTGAACACTGAGGGAAGGGGAAGGGAGCCGTGTTTATTTGGGGAACGAATGACACCGAAGCTCACGGCGGACTCGGAGAAACTGAAGGTCGGGTGAGAATGAGAAAAAAGTGGCACCAGTGGGGGGGACTTCGGATCGCCATGTTCCCTGGGACTCGAAGAATGCATAGCTGCAGGACAACATCATCAGGGTTGTCGTGGGAATTTATGATTTTGTATGCGGTACACGCGAATCCATTGACGTAGACGTAACCTTTATGACACACTGGAATGTGTCAAACTGATGGTGCGATGGAGGGGAAGTCTCTAAGTAACTTCTAACTTTCCCACTAGTTGCAGCTGTACCAAGTGACCAAGCCAAGCCGAGCCAAGACAAGCCCGCGCTTTTTTCCCCCAAGCGACGCTGACTTTTACATGCATTACAATTTACTACCAACGCTCATCTTCCCTTTACAGCATCCTTTCGTGTAAAGAGTACGCCTGTTGTTCAACAAGGTGTTCAGCAATGACGCACAAAGAGTTGCGTTGAGCCATTGGCGCCGAGGAGAGCGTGCCCTCTTTCATGCCAGCCGTGCCTCAAAGAAAATTCACAGCCCACCTTCGATAAAAGTAACGCCGGTACTCTGAGCTTCTCAGCCAATCCTACAAGTTCTGCGGCCAACATGCTCGACAAATATCACTGCTAACGTGACGAGCCCTGGAGTATCAACAAACAAGCCCTTCGGGGCTCTTTGGGCAGTTGGCCTTTCAAGACATCGGCACCGTACAAGATGGCCGCAGACGAGAGCACCAGACAGCCATCTCTCGCTCCACCTGCCCTCGCAGCTCTACGCGAGGAAGGTACGAGGGAGCGGATGCCCATGGAACGGACACACAGCATTGACATGAGAAGTGAGCGTGAGGATCTCAAAGCAGCGGCAGAGCAATCTCTGAATGTCATACTCGACCTTGGACTGGATGGGGCGATACGCTGGGTTAGCCCTTCCTGGAAGGATGTCGTTGGCACGCCTGTCGAATCTGTCAAGAACAAGCCTATTGTGGATATTCTGCTATCCAACAGAGATGGCTTTGCCAATGCTGTCCAGTCAATGAAGGAGGATGATTCAAAGAGTCGGGTCATACGATTCCAAGTGCAGAAGGGGCCTTTCTCGGTGCTAAAGCAAAGCATTGAGAAGGATGAAGAGATGCCGGATGGGGACAACTTAGAAGAGGATGCAGAAGATGAGGAGCAAATGTTGAACCTGGAGGGCCAGGGAATCATGGTCTACGACAGATCATCCGATGGGGAAGGTCATGTAAGTCGATCGATGATAGACTTCGACTTTTGAATCTGAGCTGATCTCAATCTAGACAATGTGGATGCTGCGACCCTCCAACCCACCAAGAGAAATCACGATCGACCTCCCAGAACTTCTTGTCGAGTCACTCGGTCTTGGAGCTGAGATCTTGGCCCACTACCTCACAAGCCTGGCAGAATCAGGAGCGAACGATCCAGAAAACCATCCACCCCCTCTTCCTGTTCTATGCCGCATCTGTGAGCGTCAGATAACGCCTTGGTGGTTTGAGAAACACTCAGAAGGTTGTACCCAGGAGTACCGCGCAGAAGAAGCCGTCACGCTCGCCCAAGACGCTCTTGCAGCCCATCGGCCGGCCATTGTCAAAATTTTGGACGCACTCGATCCTGAAACACGTCAGAGCCGATCGGTCCCTGGGGAAGCAAACCCACATGCTACACCGCCCGAATACAAAGGCTTACCTATCGGGCCTTCCCCTTGTTCATCAGGGACGGACTCCGGCAGAGCGTCTCCTGCTATGCCCTCGCGATCACGCGAATCATCCAGTTCTGGTATGGGCCACGGCCATGTCCGCGTGAAGTCTTTCACTGTTCGCCGTCCATTGTACCGAGTTGCTGAGCTGATCATTGATCTGTGCGACACCGCCATGGCTATCAATACGCCAGCAATCAAAGAGAACAGAACTCAAGCAGATGTTGATGGTGATATCAGGACCCAGTCCCCTCATTCAGAATCACTAATCTCGCAGATCTTGCAATGGTCGAGTCCCAGTGCCAATACCTTAGAGCATGAGCAAGGTCTCGCCGCTCTGACTGCAGATACGGAAAACCTTGCCCGTGCCAAAGTGGAGGCTGTCCTGCGCCATCGAGAGATCATTGAATATGCAGAGCGGATTCGCGTGGAATTCAACTCGCTTGTCCTTGACTGCATTGATGCTGCGATGCAGAAGGCAAAGAAAATCAAGGAAGGTCAACTGAGTGATTCGTCCGAGGAAGAGAATGAGGAAGAAGCGCAAACGCCTGCTGCCCACGAATCTTCTTTCCCTATGGGCGCATATGATGGGCCTTCGTCCATGGCTTCCGCTCTACGAAATGCCTCAGACCCATCAATTGCATCGCAATTCGAACGGAGACCGTCCTCATCTGTAGCAGCGTCGTCCAGGTCCAGCAGTCCTATGGAATGTCCAACGCCACGATCCCACAAGAACAGCATCTCGTTCCTCGGCAGGTCAGACTCTGTCAGCAAGCGTATCTCGTTGCATTTGGGGAGTGACGCTGGAGATAGCGATAGCAATACGTCCCATTCCATGCTTGTCGGGAGCAGGCGAGCTCAATCACCTAGCTCAGATCTTGCTTTGGGGAGGTCAGCAAGTTCAGGCGAAAGAAAGCGCAGAAGTCTCAGGCTGCCTATTGTGCCATCCCCAAAACGGCAACCTTCTCCAGGACGCATGCCTCCGCCATCATCTCCATTGAGGATCCCTAAGCCTCGACTTCCATTAGGCGAAGATTTAGTGCCTTCTCTGCCTTCTCCTGTGACATCTCCCCCACTCTCGAGCACCGAGATGTCATCGCCGGTCGTTCCTGCGCACCGACATCGCCGTCAATCCTCGGCGGCGTCATCAACGGCTGATTTTACAAGACCTCCGGTCTCTCCAAAGCTTGCAGGGCTTAGCCAGCCACCAGCGCGAGCTGTGCCAACATCCATCAAAGATTTCGAAATTATTAAACCAATCAGCAAAGGTGCCTTTGGCAGCGTGTACCTTTCAAAAAAGAAGTCTACAGGAGATTACTTTGCAATCAAAGTCCTGAGAAAGGCAGACATGGTTGCAAAGAATCAGGTCACGAACGTTAAGGCGGAACGAGCCATAATGATGTGGCAGGGCGAAAGCGAATTCGTAGCCAAGCTTTACTGGACTTTCTCAAGCAAAGACTACCTCTTCCTTGTGATGGAGTATCTGAACGGTGGTGATTGTGCGGCTTTGGTGAAAGTGCTTGGAGGCTTGCCGGAAGATTGGGCTAAAAAGTACATGGCAGAGGTGGTGCTAGGGATCGAGCATCTGCACAGTCGTGGCATTGTTCATCGTGACCTGAAGCCAGACAACCTTCTTATTGATCAGAAAGGGCATCTCAAACTTACAGATTTTGGCCTATCACGGATGGGGCTTATAGGTCGCCAGAAGCGAGCTCTCAAAAGTCCAAACCAGTCTACTCCAGATCTACTCAAATATGGGCCATTTGCACGCGCCACTTCGATGACTTCCTCTCGATCTGCGTCTTTCGATCTACAAGGTGGCCACTCGCCTCAGTCAACGCCAGTAATGACGCCAGACCTAGCAGGGTCCATTGGACAGCCATCCTACTTCAGTCTGAATCGCGATTCTGTACTTGGCAGAGAGCATTCGAGGAGAAAGTCTGGGTATCGAAGTGACAGTGGCAACAGTGACACCTTCAACGCACTCTTTAGGAACTTCTCTCTGAACGATGAGACCTCCCAGCGGGGCGCCCCAATCGAAGAGGAGACCTACAGCGAAGGCGAAGGATCTCCAGATTTATACGCACTACGGCCTAACATTAGCAATGCCAGCGCTGGCCAACCTGAAACTCCACCACAGAACAACATGCTGCCTCCTCCACTGGCTTTGTTCGACCCGGAGGACCAGAATCGAAGGTTCGTAGGGACTCCTGATTATCTCGCGCCAGAGACCATCAACGGATTAGGCCAGGATGAAATGAGTGATTGGTGGTCTTTGGGATGCATCCTGTTCGAGTTTATATACGGTTACCCTCCGTTCCATGGCGACACTCCCGAGAAAGTCTTCGAAAACATCCTCGCTCGTAAGATCGATTGGCCTGAAGATGAAGACTCTTCCGTTTCGGAAGACGCCAAAGATCTCATGATAAAACTTATGACCGTCGAATCTAAAGATCGTCTTGGTGCGAATATGGCGGAGAAGTACTCGTCAGGTGGGGAAGAAATCCGTCAGCATCCGTGGTTCAATGGAGCAAAATGGGAGACATTGCTCGAAGATGAGGCTCAATTCATTCCGGCCCCGGAGAATCCAGAGGATACTGAATACTTTGATGCCAGGGGTGCTACTCTACAGACATTTACAGAAGAAATGGAAGCCCAAGGAACATCGCCGGTTGTTACTCCTGGGGCTGCAGACTATCCAGACAGGCCTCACGACGCCCTTTCACGCGTCAGGAACCAAGTCAATTCATTAAAGCGAGGTTTGATGCCGCTTCACATACCTGCCCACGTTCGAGATGGTCGTAGCAGAAGACTCAGCGAGCCCGTGGCGACGGATGACTTCGGTAACTTTGCTTTCAAGAATCTTCCGGTCCTCGAAAAAGCCAACCAAGATGTGCTCCAAAAGCTACTTGCAGAATCGACGCAAAGACAGCCCAGGAACTCTGCTTCGATCCAATCGCCAGGTGCTAGCTCGACAGTGCCTTCTTTAGAGGGTAGCCCGCTTCTACCTATGCCACTGAAACGAGCACGGTCAGCGAACAAAGGCACCCGGCCTGCCTCACCATCGAATCTCGCTCAGTCTGCTGCTTCGCCCAATCGAGCCTCCCAACCATCTTCCCCACTACTCGTGCAATTCTCCACTGGTCAGAACCACGAGCGCAGGAAAACCTCTAGCACCTCTTCAACCTTGTCACATCAGTCCAATAATTCGTTGCAACCAGGTCAATACTTTGACGTTCCTAGACTGCCCACTGGAGTCTCCGCTCCTTCTGCAGCCTCTGCCACCTCCTCTCCTATTAAACCGAACCGCAACTCCATGGGAATGCAAATAGCTTCACCTGAAAGGTCGACTATAACGCCTCGCCCACACAGCATGCACATGCCATCGCGGGCTAGATCGCAAACCGTTGGGTCTCAAGAGGCAGACCTTCCTCTTCCCAACAAGCCTTTCACTCATCACAAACGCCAAAGCCAAGTGCTCGACATTTCTCCCTCGTCGTCTGACAATGAAGATCCTCGTGCGAAAGCTCTTCTTCGCGTTCAACGAAGAAGGCAAAGCTCAAGGAGGATGTCTCAAATCATGCTCGCGGATGGTCCGTCCTTCCGTCCTCTGGATGTTCTCATCTGCGAGGATCATCCCGTCTCCAAATTGGTCATGGAGAGGTTGCTTGAGAAGCTCAGGTGTCGTACCATTACTGTCAGTAATGGTACAGAAGCTGCACGTTATGCCATGAGCGAGGTACAGTTCGACATCATCATGATGGAATTCAAGCTTCCTCAAATCAATGGAGCGGACGTCGCCCGTATGATTAGGGACACCAAGAGCGCCAATACCCAGACACCAATCATTGCTGTGACTGGATATCTGAAAGAGCTACCGCAAACTCATCACTTCGACTCGCTAATGGAGAAGCCTCCGACCTTGGAGAAGCTCACCGAAGCTTTGTGCAATCTTTGTGCGTGGAAGCCTCCACCACCAGGCTACAATCCACAGCAGCAGCAAAGTCAGCAGCAACAGCTTATCCCTTCTGGACTTCGTAAAGAGTCTCGACATGCAGAAGACAGTCCAAGCTCGCAGTCTTCTGGCCCCTTTGCGCAGGTCAATGGGTTGTACAAGCGGTCAAGCCGTGAACATTCGATCGGTTCTAGCTTCTTCGGTGATACTGACTCAATAAATACCGAAGACGTACCCGTTATCGTCGGTCGACCATCAGATGACTGGCCTTCGAGTACTGGTCTAGGAATCTCCGAAGATTTTTCGCCGCCTAACATTGACTTCATCCATCCTGGTCTTCCACATTTGATTCATCAAAACTCCGCACCTTCCTCTCTAGATCCACGGACTTCGCGGAAGCAACACTCCGTCGAAGCTGTCAAAGCAAAGCGCGAGACGCTAGAGAAGAACGCCGAATTTGGCGACGACGAAGACGAAGAGTTGTGGCTTCCCTCACGCGCGAGGAGCCCGCAGGGCAAACCCCGTGGCTCGAAGCTCGGCATTGAGATGATGAGGACGAACAGTCGCGGGAGTGTCACTTCTGGTGGTGCAGATGAGCCGACTGCTCTGCCAAATATCACATCAAACCCTGATATCGATATGCCTCATGTCCCATATCACGATCACGCCACGATTGAACCACCGGAGATTTTCTCCAGAGAAGCGAGAGGAGATGCAGTCAAGGTTGTGGATATGGATGCCACCCCCAGGCCTAGTACTGCCGCAGCCGAAGCTGCCATTGAAAACTCAAGCTTGTCCGCAACTTCGCCCTCACCTACTAAATAGGCCCCGGATCACAGGACGGGTCACTCCGACTCTAAAATGTACACTAGAACCAACTCATTTCCTTCTCTTGCAATATCACGATACCACAATTCTTCCCATAGGCGTTTCCTTCACGATATGTCTTGATATGACATGAGCGATAGGCGTTCTTGGTGGACTTGTATCTTTCTCCGATCGATCCTCGAGCGAGAACGAGGCGAATGTTGGCTGGCGGCTGGATTGGTCGTCCTATTTACGATGGACTGCTTGACGCTGAATGATGTATTATGATGGGCTAAAAGCTGCAAATATGGATCTCAGTATATTTAACCTATGAATTCCCCTTCAATTCAAGTACGCTCTTTTGATGGAAGAGGCTGAATCCTACTCTCATTCTCTGCCACCCTAAAAGCGACCTCGCCCGGCAGCCTAAAACTCGCACAAAACATCCTCTTCATGGGCGCTACATCCCTGACATCCCAGACCTGCACCTCTCCTTCAGTTTCCATACTACCTGGCTTCATCTCGTACCCTATCTGCTCACTGACTTCCTTGCAGATTTTTATCTCTTCTTCCTTGTTGCCGTCGCTCTTTGTACTAAAGCAGTGTACATGTATGAACGGCAATTTGGCATCTGTATGTGGCGTAAAAAACTCCTCACGGCCTACGTACAGGCCGATGAAGGAAGGGAGAAACGTGATAGCGCTTGCCGGAAGGTTTAGAATGTAGTGGTTGAAAGTCTTCGGCGAAGTCAGGGTTGCTATTGGCTTGACAGTTGAGGCCGGTTGCTTGAGTCGGGATACCCCTTTATGTATTTTAACATGGGTGTCCGTCTTCAGCAATCTCTCCGCCGAGGAGCGAATGAAGGTTCGGCCGTCTTCATTGAAGACTTTGACAAATCGGTGGACCTGACGTTTCTGTAAATACCTGATGCGTTTGAGGGCGGGATGTAGGCTGATCGCGGCCACACGCACCTTGTTCCTTCGTACCGCATCGTCCAAACTCGCAAAGCTATCCGGATTCAGATCGTTAGCCCACACAAACACATTCTTCTTCCCAGCCGGCACAGCGAACGGCCCAACGCCGGCCATGACGTCGCAGACGGCTTCGCCGGGCTGGAACTTTTCGACCAGGCGCCTGTGCTCGGTGTTGAGACGGCTGTTCCAGTACACCTTGGAGTAGTCGAAACGGAATCTGCAGTTTTCCTCGTGGATTTCGACATTCATGTCCGGGTCGCCGGCGAGGAGCTCGTAACTGAAGGTGCGGTATTCGTTTTGTTCGCCGACTTCGTCCGTTTTGTTGATTACGGTGCGGATGGTGGGGTTTTTGTCGAGGAGGACGGTGGCGATTAGGTGTTTATAAGGCAGATACTGGTCGCGGAGGTTGAGGTGGGCTTGAGATAATTTTCAGTCAGTCGGTCGCTTCTGGATTCTGTGTAGTGGAACCACGGACGCACCAACGTGGCCAACGATGCTGAATCCCGTGGGGAGTTCGTCTTGCTCGGCTTCTGGGAGTATGGCACTCATTATGTCATCTGGTGGTAATGAGCAATTCTGTTGGATACGATACTTGTGTCTTGCACATACATACGGTAATTCCAGTAGTCGTAGTCTAATTCGAGATTATATGGTGAGAGGCTGACTTGGGAAGCCTTGACCAAGTCGGAGAGCTTTGGACTCCATGTAGAGGCATCTGGCAGCACCTTAGCTCTTCTCCTGCTCTGTCATCTTTTTGGGAACACAAAGACGCTATGTTACCATCTGGCTTGACCTCAGGCCTCAAAAGTAGCGCCTTAGCCTCCTGCCCATCAGAATCTCTTACAGACCTGACCGCTGGCATACGGTCAAGCCTCAACAGATCATGGCCCAGTTCTGTGCGGTACTTTGAAATTTGCTTATTATCAAGTATTCTTGCTGCAGATAGTGGAACGCTTTTCTTGAAGAAAGAACGATCAAGAGCTCGCATAGCACGATTGATAGGCGGACGAAACATAGCAGATTCAGGGGATTCATTCATGGCTTTGCAATAAGTTTGGACAGTCTACAGGGTCGTATCATGTTGTCAAACAGTAGGAAATTTCCGGTGACTCGTGTAGGTTACAAAGACTATTCGAAGAGTCATAAATCCTTGATTAACCGAATTTTAGGTCAAAAAGATGTTATCCGCTAGCTATTGCTCTGTGGCATCTATGTACAAATTGACGGATGTACCCTGGTCACCGAAGGCGTCTTACGTTCATGAGGCAATTCTGTGAGATGAAAGACTTCCCGTGGTTGCGATGCTTCGCACGCAAATCACACTACATGACTTATCAACGCGGCTACTGACTAAAAAGTATTCTGTTCATACTCTCTTTCTCAAGACCCTTCTTCCAGGCGGTGGCATCCCCGTGCCCGCAGCGACCTTCTTCCCCACGGCACGCACGCCAACATCGTTCTTCTTTGCAGCTGCTACAGGTGCCTTTTTCGCATTCTTCACAATGGTGGTACCCGTAGAGATACTTGATGTATTACTTTGATTGCTCACTTTCCTCACATCCTCCGGTTCTTTGGCTATAGCCGCACCCCGCTTTGGCCTTCCGACCGCTGGTTTCGTTGTCGTAGGATTGCTAGCTTTACGACCTGCTGCTGCTTTCGGACGGCCGGGTTTAACTTTCTCAGTCACCATGCTGGCTAGGTTTGCTGTTGCTGCTGCTGCGGCAGCTTTGGCAGGTGATGCCAATTTGATAGGTGATATTGGTTTCAGAGGTGACGTTGGATGTGCAAAGTATAACTTCTGCGGCGACTTGAGCTCTGCGTGGACTGGCGATTGGGGAAGAGTGCGTGAGTTAGCTGATTTGGGGGAAAGTACAGTAGACGGGTTCGTAGCTTGGCGCGATTTCGCAGTAGTTGTCATTTTGGCTCGCTTCTTGGGATTGGGTATCGCTTCCATGGACTGGGCGTTGTTCTCCTTGTCTGCGGAGTTTATTGCGTCGCTGCGGCTCGTTAGAATCGGAGGCACGGCTAGATCGCACATAAGGACTCGCCTGGTTCTCTTTGTGCCTCGGAACTTGGTCATATCTGTTGAATTGGAACCCTCTGACACCAAGACGGGCCTGGACTCGCTCGAATGAGCAATTTCTACGGCCTCCTCCTCCTCTTGAGGCGCGCTCTGTCGTTTGGGATCCGACGTCTCTTTGTACTTCTCCAATAGCTCCCCCATGTTCGCATTACGGAGAGAAGTCGGAATACGATTTATCCGTAACTCGATTCGAGTCCGTAGACTTTGAGCTTGGAGGGCGTATTGAGCTCGAAGCTTTCGCGCGCGTTCCGTGACTGGGAGGAGGTCAATGCCTGAACTACGCTGTGGTTCCGGAAATGCTCACTCTCTAGTTGTAGATTATCAATCAACGCTTGCTTCTGTCCTTCCGTGATCGTCATGCTCCTCTTTCGGGGACTCTGCACTGGTGTTCTCGCAGGCGATTGGAGGGTAACGGTTTGCGGGCGCGCCGTTGAGCTGGAATCGGTCGAAGACCGGACTTTCTTCGTGCGAGGAGGAGCCATGACTTGTATTGAGGCAAGGACTACTTGAAATGAGAGCGCAGCAAGATAGTTGGTTATTAAGGAGACAATGCAGTCGAAGCTTGAATTTGTGTAAACAAAGATTGGCGCAGGGATCAGCTAGCGGGTTTGCCGCGGTCTTGGCGCCATCGTCCGCCTCATTCGAGCTTCACTTTTAGATAAACATTCAACGTCTTGACTCTTCATCTATTCTCCTGCCAGGAAACGGAAAGTGTTTTCGATTCTATCTTCGTATATCAACCGTCAACATGGTGCTTGAGGCGACCATGATAGTGTAAGCCTCTGCTCGTCACTACAGTTGCTCGAGCCTCCGCTAACACGAACTGCTAGGCTGGACAACAGTGAGAGCAGTAGAAACGGCGATTATGTGTAAGATTTACTCTGTAGATATTTATTTGACCCGTAAATGGTTTCTGACCTTATCAGTCCATCGAGATGGGAAGCCCAAGCAGACGCAGTCAACCTCATCTTTTCCGCCAAAACCCAAGCGAATCCCGAATCCTCCGTCGGTCTGATGAACATGGCCGGTAAGGGGCCAGAGATGTTGGTTACTCTGACCACGGACTTTGGAAAGCTACTTGATGGGATGCACCGGACGAAGATAAGAGGGAGCACGCATTTGGCTACAGCCATACAAATAGCAGGTGTATGTCTACGCGGAAATTCAAGTTTCGCCCTATAGGCTGATTGCATTTTACAGCTCGCGCTCAAACACCGCCAAAATAAATCGCAACGACAACGCATTATAGTCTTCACCTGCTCCCCCATTGACGAAGATGAAAAGAATCTTGTCAAGCTCGCTCGGAAGATGAAGAAGAATAATGTCTCGATCGACTTCATCGCCTTTGGTGACCTGGACCCAGAGAACACGAAGAAGCTAGAAGCGTTCAACGAGAACATCAAGGGCGGAGATGGCTCGCATCTGGAGGTAATTCCACCGGGTCCGAGTCTACTGAGTGATCACATAATATCTACGCCCATATTAGCTGGAGAGGGTGTTGCTCCTCGTGGCGGTGAGAACGGCGGCGACGCTGGTGGAGATGCAGGTGGAGGTGGTTTCGATTTCGACGTTGATCCAAGCGCAGATCCGGAGCTTGCGCTTGCTTTGAGAATGAGTATGGAAGAAGAGAAGGCCCGACAAGAAAAGGAGGGAAAGGCTGGAGAAGCTGCGAAGGAGCCAACGCTAGAAGGCATACCAGAGGAAGGTGGAAGCTCGGAGAGCCAGCCATTAGTCAATGCAGACGGAGAAGCCAGTGGGACTGCGGACGCTCCCGTTTCAAAGCCCGAAGTGGGAGAAAAGAAAGACAAGGAGCATCAAGGGATGGACAAAATTGAGACAGATAGGGACGACACAAAAGACAGGGACAACATGGACACAGATTAGTCTTGCATATGCACAGCGAGGCGTTTGGGCATATCAAGCATAGATAGCGTTTTGCTCGCAGCATAAGAAGGGTATTTCTCCATGAACTCTACGCCCTTCGCCAAAGTGACATGCATACCATTTTCGGCCTTTTCCCCGAACCAGACGCCAAACACCACACTCGTTCTTCGTCTCGCAGCATCTAAGAAAAAACAATCGCTCACAATGCTAGCTCTCTGTAGACTTCAAAGGTGGGCCATGAAGCATCCCATGAGTGTTTGACGCAAGCCTTCTGTCCACCCAGCTCGATGGCCCCAATATCATGCCATGAGCGTGGCTCACTTTCATCCCATATTCGTGATCTCGTTCGTCCAAGTTGGCCCTCTTTCCCCTTCACCTCTCAGTCCCCAAAGGTCCTCAACTTAGTGATATCATCCAATATTTCCTGCAGATCCACATCGGTAATCTTATTCGTCAGACTAGGTATCAAGGTCTTCGCCTCTTCAGCAGTCTCGCAACATAAACTCGCTGCGCCCCGGGAGTCGTCAGCCCCTCCTCGTCTTAGAAACCCTGTAGAGATGTCTGAGAGAAGTCATACCTAGCTGTGACTTCTCAAAAGGCTCCAATTGCGGATGCGCACCAAGCACACGTTCCACGGCCGTAATATTTTCGGTGTTCTTGAACCGCGCGAAAACGTCCAGGTAGTCCTGCGTCTTGATCAACGTCCTGTACGCAACTAATCAGCCTCTATGCTTCCTTTCCCTCCCGTCTTCTCTTCTCCCCACTCCTCCCACCCTGGCGACGGATCAAGCAGACTTACTCAGTCTCTTCGACCTTCTTCGTTGTCGCCCGATGTGCTAAAATCGCAATTATGAGGGCCCGTGCTTCTGAAAGGCTCATTGAGTGCACGTTCTGGAATTCGCCGAGTTTGAGGTCCGAGGTGGCTTCTTCGTCACCGCCGACTTGTTCACGAGCTCTCGAGGTGGGCGCCGTGGCGTTTGTCTGCGCCATTGTGAGGGTGCAGGTGATATGGGGACCCGGGGGAGACGGTTAGGGTGGTGATGTAGTCCGTGAAGAGAGGAAATGAATGAAAGCCGGTAGGAGCCGGCGTATGTGGTGTTGCACTGACTTGTCGAATATGCCTAAGACGACCACGGGAGTTGTAAAAATTTTTTTTTTTAAAAAAGTGGGGTGGGGGGGGGGTGTTAACCCTTCTTAAGCTGTTATTTCGACAACGCTATTTCTACCGCTTGGCTGCTACTGCCACAGTAACAAAATAGATGTGTGTGGGAAAGCGGTCGTACGCTTTCAAGCCTACAACTAGTATAAGTTACTGTTTAGTGACGGACTACTAGTGATCACCTTTTGGTCTAGTCGTACCCCTATTTTCGTAATCATTGGGAAACTAGAAAATTAGCATTAAGGCTAGTATCCCCCTCACTCAAAATCCTACTATAGATATGCCCACTATATTATTATTCTTATAACCCTTCTTATACCTCGCTATCGTTAAATTAAGATTAGAATTACTCGCTAATATAGAATCCTTAATATTTCTTTTATTAGGCCTTCTATTAATATATAGAAGATCTCTAAAATATCGTTTTCTTTACTATCTAATATTTATAAGAATCGCATTTAATATTATATTATTAATAGACTTACTATCGCCTCTATTACTTTTATTAAGAGCGTTAAGAAAAATATCGTATATTATATTATTAATAATATCCTCGTTTTTAATATCTATATAGCGTCTATTATAATTAAGAGAGAGTAATTATTTAAGATATCTTAAGTAGTAAGAATCGAATTAAAAGTCTTTATTAAGAGTAAGTTATAATTATATTTAAATAAGATATAATATAAACTCTTCGATTAATTCGATCTTATTATAAGCGTATTTATAATCTTGAAAACTTTACGCTTTATAAAGATTAATAGAAAAAGTCTTCGCTATAAGATTTTAAAACGCTTATAAATTTATTATAATTATTACTTTTTAAAGATTAATAAGTTTATTTATAATATATTTATCTTTCTAAATAAGAGCGTTATTAATAAGTATATAATATAAAGAAAGCGAGGCTATATAGCCTTCGAAATTCGGCTTATAATTTAGATTTTAATTAAATATTTTAAGCGTTATAGCGTCTTATCGATATATTACTTAGATGAAATCTTTTATTATTATATTCACTAGAGTAATATTAATAATATTTATTTTAAATAATTTCTTAGAAACGAAGTTCTCTCTTAATATAACTTATTTCTTAATCTAAAGTCGATTATCGTTATAAATAATTACTCTATATATTATATTACTAGCGTTAAACGAATATATAAAAATAAAGATATTATACTTTTATATTTATCTCTCTATTCGCTAAACTTTAATTCTATTAAAGAATTCTTTTTAATCTTTAAGATTTAATTAAAGAGATATTTTAAATTAATAAAAGATATATTATTTAGATAATATTTAAAGTTAGCTATATAGATATATAGTATAAAGATTTATATTAAGATTTACTTTATTTATATTAATATATTAATAAACGATTATAAGAAGAAGAAAGAAGAGTTATTTAAGAAAGATAAAGACTATTATTTAAGTAGCGAGGAAATCTAAAGAATAGAGTTTTAAGCTTTATCTTAGCGTAGTTTAAGAAAGAAATTCTTTTAACTAATATTGCTATATTAAAATATTATTAATTCTTTTAATTTTTTTATTAACTTATAGTATATATTTAACTTATAATTTTATATTATTTAAATAATTTGAATTATATAATAATTAGTTAATTTTAAATATATTAAATATTTAAGATTCTTATAGCTTTTATAGGGCCGGCGCTAATTATTAATTATTAAACTTTATTTTCTAAATTTCGATATATAGCTATTTAGGCCTTCTTATTCTTATTCTTCTTTTTATTTATCTTTTTATTACTTCTATTTATAGTCTTATCTTTTAATAAAGTAACTTCGATTATTAGAATCGATATAGATGTAATATTAATATAGATATATTAAATAAGATAACTAAGATATCGAACTATATAGATAAGAAGAAGATATAATATAATAGAGAATACCTCCGCTAAGGCCCGCTAGCCATAGAGCTAAGAAGTATATTAGAATATATTAAGAATACGCTCGTAATACTATCTCTTTCTTCGTTAAATTATATCTCATAATTAATAAGTAAAAAGATAGAAAAAATAGATATATATATACGCTTGACGTCTAAAAAATAATAAAAGTAGTAATGTCATGAGATGCCTCAGGGACACTCATAGGGCCACTAGCGTAGGCTTGGCACCGCACACATATGTGCCTGCAGACCACATAGATAATCAACATCTTTTACACCACACACATATATGAGTCAAACCATAATGATTCCTTAACAATTGGTAGCAACACCTTAAGATCTAATTCCACTTGATCCTACGATGTAGTAGACGTCTCTACGAGCCACGTCTACACCACACGTTTACGCAAAGCCCACATCAACACCTAATAGTGTGACGCTCCAAGCCGGCCCTCACATACACTCGTTGGTCATCGAGTATCATTTGACCAAAACCCCACGTCCACATCGATCCTTTCGCTAGGCCTATCGACATCATGAATTCATACGCTGCAAGACTCGCCTCATTCACGTCATGGCCACATGTGTGTCCAAGTGCCTCTACCGTAGCCCGTGCTGGCTTTCGCCGAGAATACGACCCTACTTTTCCGTCCCCTGATCTCACTGTATGCTCACTATGCGGCCTTGATCCTTGTGACTGGGACAGTGACGGTACTCCTACTCCATTCGATTTCCACGCTACTCGATCACCGGAGTGTCCATTTGTACGTGCAACACAGCAGAGAAAGAAGCACCGGAATCAGAAGACTCGCCAGCAATATACCAGAAGGTCTTTACAAATCACTCAGCCAGCCACTCAGTCAATCACTCAGCCAGCCACTCAGCCAGCTCACCAATCCACTCAGTTAGCCACTCAGCCAGAGCACTCAGTTAAGCAAGAGGAGGAACTACAACAGGCAAATGCGGAGAATACGGCGGAGAAAGCAAGCGGCAGCAAGGCCATCAGCACCAAGAACACGGCTCACTTCTCTATGATCCCACGTCAGGTCGCCACTCAGCAAGCGGAGAATGACACTGCAATTTGGCCTATCATCCCCACTGTATCAGTGTGGTACATCACTGCAATGAGCACACAAGAGAAGGATCTACTGCGTCGATCACAGCCAATTGGACCTCTGCAGGCAAGGATCACCTATCGGACGATGCATATTTGGACGAATTGAAACCGTCCGATATCTTGCTCCGACAGTCATTTCATTATTCAAAAGTTTTCATTCCAGCAGGAGATTTTGTGAGATCCACACCACTAATTAGCCCGGTATCTCCACTCCTTTCCGATTTTTCAAAAAAGCATGCATGCATACTTCTTGCCATGAGGACATGGCATTTCTCTATTTTTTGTGGGCAATTGTCATGAGATGCCTCAGGGACACTCATAGGGCCACTAGCGTAGGCTTGGCACCGCACACATATGTGCCTGCAGACCACATAGATAATCAACATCTTTTACACCACACACATATATGAGTCAAACCATAATGATTCCTTAACAAGTAAAGAAATAATCGTATCCGGGAACCTTAGCATTATATCTTTCTTTATAAGAGATATTAGAGATAATAATAACTCTTTATACTTACGCTATAGCGACGTCGCTAGCCGAGATATAAGCGTATATAAAGAGTCTAGCCGAGAGGAAATCGATATAATATAATAAAAATCATATTCATAGACGTAGAGGTAAATAATAGCGATTTTCGAATTCATATTTAAGCGAATAGAATATTAGTAAAATAATACGATATAATTAATTAAGAGCTTTTAAATCGAATCGAGTCGTAGACGCTAAAAACTCTAATTTAATATTAAGTAACTTTAATATAGTCTTCTCTATAATATATTATTTAGCTAATATTACTTATATTTTATAATAATAATAGCGTAGTTCATATATATACTAATATAACTTCGAAAGATCTTTAAGATTATATTAATAAGGGGGGGCTTACGCGAAAAGTTATATATGAGATAATTCCTAATTAATATAAGTCTAAGGAATCGATTCTTAATTTTAGAAAAAATAAGGCTATTATAAAGACATCGAACGATTTTCATTCGATTGAAAATAGAGTATTCGAGATAATTTCGAAATTTCATTAATTAATTCTTTATACGAAATATATTTATCTTTCTAATTTTATATTACTATATAACTCTAAAGCTCTTTAAGTCTAATAATTCTAATTCTTTAATTTTTTTAAGAAGTAGCGATTTGAAATTAATATAATAATTATTATTAGAGTATAATCTTAACGTTTATAAAACGAATTGTTATCGGTCGATATAATATTAAATTAAAATATTATTATAGTATAATTAGATATATTAGAGCGTATTATAGACTCTAATAAAGAGATCTTTTTATTAATCGTAGATAATAATTTAATAAAGAAATCGAGTAGTAATAATAATAATGATACTACTATTAATAGTTAAGAAAGTATCTTTAATAATAAGCGAGATATTAATAAATAGATTAACGAATTTATTTATATTCTAAACGATAGAGTAGAGTATACTACTCGTCGTCGAGATATATTTATATAAAAACGTCGCCTTTAATCTCTAGAAGCGGAGATTATTTCGCTTAAATAAGATAAAATATCTACGAATTGTAGTCGCAATAGCGATAATAATAGATCGAGATTATTAGCGACTTTAGAAATAAAGAGAATTACAAATAATTTTAATCTTAAATATAATAATATTATTTAGCGGCCTTAAAAAATAATTCGACTAGAGAAATTATTAATCTATTATAAAAAGAGTATTTAAGAGTATTAAGCTCTAGTATAAAAGATAAACGAGGCGTTTCATCTAATTTCGAAAAACTTTCTTATCGAAAAGAATAAGATTCTTTAGACTTATTAATCTCTTAATAATAATTAGAAAGAACTATAAGCTAATAAGAAGAATAGATTTTCGAATTATAACTATATATGATAGAAGTTTATTAACTTTCTACTAAATTAAATTAAAGACTTAATAAATTATAGGCTTAATATCGTCTAAGCGTATATGAATATTAGCTAAAGATAAAATTAAACTATATATTAATTTAATAATTATCTTCGATTATTAAAAGCTTAAATAAATCTCTATACTAAGAATTAATAAGTATATTATTTATTTACGAAGCTTCGTTTAGATCTTCGCTATTAATTAATTAATATTTTAATTATATTAATTAAGCGAGATAAGCTTTTAATACTTATAATACGCTTAGAGAATAATAATAGAAAATAAAAATTTTTTAGAGGATATAAAGTAAGTAATATTTCTAATTTATAAGAGGGTTAATAGCGAGGAAATTAAAATTCTTAATATAAGAAATCGTAGTTATCGCGAAGATAAAACGACTTTAATTTAAGAGATAAATAATCTCGAGACTATAAGTCTAAAAATAAATTTAAGAATAATAAGTCTTATCTAAATAGTATGAAATACTATAATTATAAAGAAAAAGAATATTATATTACTATCTATATTAAATCGAAAAAATAGAAAACGAAAAATCTTAATAATATATCGATTAATTTAATTAATAATTATAAGCTTTATATAGTCGACTCGATAGAAAAAAAAAACTCTTATTGAAGACTTTATAATAACGAGAATAAAAATAGAAGTAGTATTTATTCTATCGTTAATTTATAAAGATAGAGTACTTTTAAATAGTTAGAGCGAGTTATAGACTTTTATTAAAATTTATTTTAATAATAATATAGAGGTAAATATAATAAGTTAGTATTTTACGATTAAGTAGAATTTAATTAAGATTAATAATTTCTTATTAAAACCTATATAAATAAATAAAAAATTAACTTATTACTATAGTATTTACTTGATAATCTATCGTCTATAAAATAGTTAAAAGCGTATTAAGCGCTATAAATATATTTTCTACGCTATTAATAAGAAAGATCTCTTAATAATTTTAAATCTTTCGATTTTAATTAATAAGCGGATTAAGATAGATATAGAAGATTAAATCTAGCGTTTCGACGTTAAAAAGTAATCGCTCAAGATTCTAGTATTATAATAATTCGCGGACGTCTTAAAAGGATATAAGACTATTTATATATTAGTTATAGTCGAAATAGTAATCGTAGATAGAGAATATAAAATTAATATAATTAAAATATAAAGTATTTATATCGATAGCGTAGAGGTTATCTCTAAACTTTCTAATAAGTTAAAAGAATATAAAGATATATTCTTATTAAAAGAAGTAAGTCGATTATTATTATATAAGAGTCGCGATTATACTATTAAAACTATAGCGAAGCTATTATTTAACTTACTATATAATTTATTTAATATAAAGTTAATAATGCTAAGAATCTATCTCGATAAAGCTCTAGCGAAAAATTAAATAAGATATTTTACGAGTTTAATAGAAGCTTTAATTCTATTTATTCTAAAAAAGAATAGAGATTTATATCTATATATTAATTATCGTAGACTAAATAAGATAATTATTAAAAATCGATATTTATTATTCTTAATTAGCGAGACGCTTAATCGCCTAAATAATTTTAAGTAATATATTAAATTTAATTTAAAGAATACTTATTATTATATATAAATTCGCAAGAGCGATAAGTGAAAAATAGCGTTTTGTATATATTATAGATATTTTAAGTATTTAATAATATTATTTAACTTAATTAACGCTCTAACTATCTTTTAAACTTATATTAATAAGACTTTAATTAAACTAGTTAATTAGTTTTATATAATATATTTAAATAATATTCTTATATATTTTAAGATGAAGAAGAAGTATCTAGATTATATAAAGTAAGTGCTTAATTAACTTAAACGATATAGCCTTTATATAAATCTAAAGAAATATAAGTTTTTTATTATCGAAGTAAAATTTCTCAACTTTATAATATTTATTATTAATATTATTATAAATAAATATAGAGTAGCTATAATTTAAGAGTAGTTAAAATTAAAAGACTATTATAATATATAAGTCTTTTTAGAGTTTATAAATTTCTATTATAGATTTATTTATTATTATTTTTAAATTATAAACTCTTTAATAGAACTTTTTAAGAAAAGCGAAAAAGATATTAAATTAGAATTATTTCTATAACTCGATATTATAAAGTATACGTTTAAGGAGCTAAAGGGCGTATTTATAACCGCGCCTCTTCTTAAATATTTTAACTCTTAACTTTTAATTTAAATTGAAATTAATATCTCGTTATTCGCTATAGTAGATATATTAATTTAGCTATATACGAATAAATAATAATATTTAATCGCTTTTTATTTGAGAAAGATAATTAATGTAGAGTATAACTATAAAATATATAATTAAGAACTTCTCGCGATTATTATAGTATTTAAGTATTAACGCCACTATTTAAAAAGAAGTTTTTACTCTATTAAGATTCTTATTAATTATAATAATTTAAAGTACTTTATAAAGTAATTAATATTAAATAGTAGATAAGCCCGCTAAGTAATAAAACTCTCTTTATATAATTTCTTAATTTCGTATAAATTAGATAAGATAAACTCTATCGATACGCCTTTAAAACGCTTTAATTATAAAGATAAAAACGAATTAATTAATAGACTTTTCTCTACATTATAGTAGAAACTAACTAGAGTTAAAAGTCTTTTAAATCTTATTCTAGTTATTATTAAGATAGCTTATAAAGATAGCGTAGACTATATATATAAGAAATATAATTCTAATAGTAAATATCTTATCGTATTAAATAGTCTAAATATAAATAAGAGTCTCTTAGATACTAGTTCTCGAGAAGAAGTATTTATAAAAAAGATAATATTTAAGAATTTAATAATTATTGTAATATAAGAAACTTACTTAAATATAATATATTCTTTAAGACTTAGAAAATCTTAATCTTTAATAAAAGAAAGTTTAAGCGAGATATTTACTTAATATACTTATAACGTAGTTAATAAGCGACTTAATTTTATTACTAAAACTATTAATTATAAATAGTTTATTTTATATTTAATTATCGAAGTATTAATAATTAGCGAAATAATATATAATATAAATAATAAGTCTATTTATAAACTTATAAAGGTATTTTAATAAGAGAACGCTCTTATTAAATAGTATAAAGCTAATAAGATATTAAATAAGCGAATATAAAGTATTAATAATTAG